CATTGGCATTGGCATTGGCATCGGTGCAGGCATTGGCATTGGCATTGGCATTGGTGCAGGCATTGGCATTGGCATTGGCATTGGCATTGGCATTGGTGCAGGCATTGGCATTGGCATTGGCATTGGTGCACACACTGGTGGAGCCATTGGCATTGGCATTGGTGCAGGCATTGGCATTGGCATTGGTGCAGGCATTGGCATTGGCATTGGCATTGGCATTGGCATTGGTGCAGGCATTGGCATTGGCATTGGCATTGGTGCAGGCATGGGCATTGACATTGGCATTGGTGCACACATGGGCATTGGCATTGGCATTGGTGCAGCGACACTAGAAAAGCAGAAAAATGATAAAACTTCTGATAGCTAGTTGATTAGTAACAGATTGAGATACTTACGAACCGCCTTGAGGAATAAAGATTGCACGAATTTTAGGAGGAATACCGCCTAGACCACCAATGGGAGGTACAGGTCCATAGGGAATTCTAGGAAGCATAGTTGTTGTTGTGTATCCTGGTGCATATCTACTACCAGGATAACCATCTAAAAAGGTATTGTATTTCTGTTAATGTGATGCATAAACCAAAAAAAAGAAGTAAATGCTTACAAGAATATGGATCATAAGCGCCTCCATAAGTGCCCATTCCAGAATATGGGTCATATGGTCCACCATAATAACCAAGACCCGGTTGTTGACGACGAAGACCTCGATTTCCCATTTCTTGTTATATTTTGATATGTAACTAATCTATTACCTAAAGCTAACACAGAAAACTTCATATGAGAAATAGAACATGAAAACTACAGCTTTTATCTATTATAGAAAAATGAGCTGTAATACATGTCATCATTTTACTCTCACACACATTACCTACTCTTCTTCAAATGTTGACGGCGGTTGTCGATCTGAAGTAATCAGTCTAATACAAGGGTGTCTGATTTTATAGGTAAGCGATTTCACTTTGCTTCGTAGTTATCAACAGAAAGAAAAAAGAGAAAAAAATATAGAAAAAAAATGAGCGGAGAGGAAATATTTTTCACTCAAAAAAAAAAACTGCCGAGACATTCGTCCCTAATTTTGAGGACGACTCTCGCACAATAAAATTGGTTTATCATATCTGTCTTCGAATCGTCCATGCATCAATCAATGACGCGTAAACGAGAAGGTTGCCGACGATGGCCACGGTATATTAAGAAAAAAATGAAATATGTTTTTTTTATCGACCACGGCCGTTTTGTCTGTAGAAGAGAGAGAGAGAGGCGAAAATGAATCTATTTACCACACGAATATTCATGGCCAAAAAAACCGCGTATATTTTACCTGTGCGTAGCCGCTACTGTCAAAAAGAGTGTATGGTTAAAATCAGACCACACATATACACACACATAAATGTATGCAAAAATAAATATAAATTAATTAAAAGGCGAAAAATGACAAGTTATCATTTATTCGACATGTACATGTATTTTTTTTTTCATAACCTTGTCGTTGTTGATGAATTGAAAAGAGTGCTTGTCTTTATATCCATGATAGTGAGAAAAAGAGAGACAGCAAAGAATTGACGTTTCTGTAATCAATTTTATTCATCATCAAGTTTTCTTTTTTGTAGTTTTCACTTAGTGCCTAACTAAAATAACTATTTATTATGATTTCAAGGTGGCAACAACGGCATAAATTGATCAATAGACATCATTCAGATTGATATGTATGCAAAAATTTCAATGGTCTACATTTATATAGCATGAAAATGAGAATTACTTCTTATAGATGCTATCACCATAAATGAATGTAATATAATGTTTTTGATGTATATTCCAAGGAGACAAGTCATAATGAATAATAAACATTTTTTCATTTTCATTTTAATAATACTTTTGCCAACATATAATTAGAAGTATATTTTGTGCATAGATAAAACTTTCTTTTTTTTTTTTAACCAATCAAACATTTTTGAAGATTCTACATAAAAATATATTACTTGTCATTTTGTACGAAAAAGCATAACAACAATATTGAAAAATAAAAGATATATATATGTATGATAAATTATCAATATATTTTACTCACTATTTTGCATCATGATTTGAATAAATCTTTCTATTTTCAATGGATGAGAAAAAGCAAACCGGATTTTTGTAACACTATTGTGCATAGCTTGCATCACATATAAAATGTGAACTATTTTGATTTTTTGTTGATTATTTATATACCATTTATCAATGTTGTCCTTTATAATAGTTATCACAATGAGTCTATCAATACTTTCTTTCATCTATTATTTCGTTTGTTTTTTTTTTCTTTCTTTTTTCATATCTATCTTAATACTAATCATAAATCAGCAACCTCTTGTGAATATGTAAGAAAATCATGATCTTTTCTATTGTAAATGCTTTATCACAAATAATTAAAGAGAATATGAAGGTAAATTCATGCTTGATTGCTTCATACCGCAATAGTGTGTATGTGTATGTGTCATGTAACTGCTTCCTTATCATCATCATTCATTTTTACCTTGATTGAGCAACCTCAAAATTGTTCCAATTTAGGTCTTTCTCTTTTTCTCCATATATATATATATATGTATTGTTTGATATCAAAAAAAGTATACTGAATCAAACATTCATTGAAGTTCTCCGTTAGTTAAATATGAATGTATATATAGGAATCGTCACTTTTTTTTTTTTCTTTTTCTTTTTGTCATTTGTATAATCATATAGTGATTTGTTATCTTTAATACGACTTCTTGTTGTTTTTTTTATCATCATTTATGTTATTTGTTTTTCATATTGTCAGATATAATAATTATTCGTTGACAGGTTAATTGTCCTTATTAATAAACCGAAATCACTCAAAGGTTTGCATAGATTCATATGATAACATTGTTTTACGCTAAAAAATTCTTTTTGATTGTGTTTTATTTATTTATTTTTCAGTATTTGGAATAGAATGGGTAATCATGCAAGTCAACGAAATCGAGGCAATGTACAAAATAATGGCAATTTAAATCCGTAATTATAATTTTACCATATATTCAATCATTCGGTTTCTCTTTTGTTCAAATAGATATGGAACAAAACATAGTCGTGATGCTGTTTTTTCAGGATCTGCACCTTATGGTGCAGCTCCAGGTAAGATAAAATTTTATCATATTTTTAATAACTATTTTAAATTAGGTTATGGTATTCCAGCAGCTTATACTCCTGAACCGTATTCAATAATGGACTGGACTGAGCAGTATATTCCAACAATGGTTGGTGGTCGCGGAAAACGACCTGTTGTTTATGTTGGAACTTCATTACCTGCTGCAAATTCATTTGGTAGTTTTGGTCTTGGTTCACCTTTTGGAGGTGGTTTTCCTTTTTCAGGTGGCTTACCATTTAAAGGTCGTGTACCTTTTGCAGGTGGCTTACCATTAAGAGGTGGTACACCCTTTGCAGGTCGCGTTCCATTCAAACCGAATTTTCCACGATTCCGTTAAACGGACAAAGTTTCTCGTTTTTTCTTAAAATCTCCTTCCCCCTCCTCCAAAAAAAAAACAAAGCATAGATTCTATTAAGAACTAAAAGATATTGATTGAATTTTGAAGTTGTTTTTTGTTTCTAATAGATTTGAAAGGTTTTTCTTTCTCTGTCTGATTATTTATTGAATTTTACATGTTAAATTTTTCTTTTTTTCTTATTATGAAAAGAACTTTTCATATAATGTAAAAGGAAAAAAAAAGAAACATTTTTTTTTTTTTTAATGAAAATTTTTACAGTTTATTGATAATTTTTTTTTTTTGTTTTTTTGAAATTCTTTTTTGCGTTTTGTTTTATTTACTTTGTCAAATTTATTAATTTAACAAAACATATGACGATATTAAAACAAAGTTATGTTGACAAATACTTTTTACTTTTTTTTTTAACGTTTTTTATGCAAACAAGGTGCAAGTGTTAGAATTGATTTTGATTTAATTTGTTCACATGTTTTAACAAAATCAAATGTATAGAAATATTTTTTTGATGATTGATTTTTATCATCTAATGAATCCGTTTTTGAACATTGAAAACCCATTGATTCAATTTTTCGTATAAATTTTTGTGGTTGATTTTCAAAACGTGATGCTATTTCAACTATTTTCATTGTACCACGTAAACGAAGTATACGATGAGCTTCATGAATAAAATCCGTTAAATTTATACCCATTAATGATAAACAATATATAACAATATCAACTGAATTATTATTCAATGGTGTATGTGCTATATCACATATTTGAACATGTTCATTTAATGAAACGAAATCAAAACTATAAATATTTGGATGTGTAGATTTAAGTGTACGAGCAAGACGTGCATCACCACAACCCATATCAACAATAACAAGATTTGATGAACGTTTACGTATATAAGCAATTATTTCATCTAATGGTTGATCAGGCCATTGAGACATACTTGTCTAAAAGTAAGAAATTATGACATTTTTTTTGTCCGGTTATTTGAATGAAACTTACGGAATAACCTTGATGATAAGCATAGAAAGATTGAGGATCTTTTTCAAATAATTGTTGAGCTTCTTTACTTGTTAATGTATATAATTTTTCATTGAGATAACGAAAACGTGATGTAATCATATGAGAAATAAGTTTATCACAAATGGATGGTTTAGATTCTTGAGAAGATTTTTTTATTGGTGGTTCATTTTGTTCATCAGATTCATGTTTACGTTTATTTATTTTTGGTTTAGTTGTAATAATATCTTTTAATTCTGGATGATTCATTAAATAATATTTATTTTTACGACTTTTTTTTGGTATTATAGATTGTTTTGGTTGTTGAAGTTCTTTATTAATATGTTTTTTTAATACTAATCGTTTTTTATGGATATTATTATTATCATCATCATCTGAATAATCATCATTTAATATACGTTCTTCTCGTTTACGATCGTTTGGATTATTATCATGACGTGGTACACGTTCGAAACTTTTCTTTTTCGATTTCTTTTTATCAATTAATGATAATTCACTATTAGCAAGAATGTTTTTTACTTGAATATGATTTTTATTTGTACGTTTTTTATGTGGCATCTGAAAAAATTGCAAAAACAAACTTATTTTTGATTTAAAAATATTTGATATTAATTTTCTAGTCAAAAAAAAAATAGTCAAATTCTGATCTTTAGATTAATTTATATTTCATTTATTACAAAAGATTTGTATTTGTTATAGACATTTAGATGAATGATTCTACTCAATCAAATTTTTATAAACTTTAGTATTGAAATAAACGAAAAAGAATATGTTTCTAAGATCAGAACTTTATAGATATCTCTTTATTAATTATAATAAAATATTTATATATTAAACTCTTTATTGTATATTTTTCTAAATCTTATATTTAATTGAATTCAAAACATTTCGTCCTTGTATTTCAATAATGAATCAATTTACGACACGCCCTTATAGAATGATAAATAATGTATATGCATAGATTTTAATGAAAAAAAGGTTTGTTTGATTTCTTCGTTTTTTTCTCAATATAAAACATGAATAGCAAATAGAGTCACAGAAATTAATCATTAGGCATGTGTTAAAATAGTCTTTCGTTGTAAGATAATTAGTTCTGTTTTCTCATAAATACTATCTAAGTTACATTCAATAGAAGGTTAATGAAAATGAATCGAAAAAAAGTAACAACGTTGTCAACGATGAAAAAAACAAAAACTCATTGATGTGTGACGATACATCGTTTCGACCTATTTTTTTTTTCACTTTCGTCATCATATCTATTAATCATTAATGGCAAAAAATGAAGGAGGTATATCACTCTAGACCGTCGAATAAATTTGTTTTTTTTTTTCTTCTTTTCATAAAATAACAATAATCATAGTAATCTATAGTCACTTCAATTCAACTATATATAAATATATAATAAAAAGAAACAAAAAGAATGGATTTATTAATTGGAATATGATAATCAAATATAAAAAAAAACCCTCATAGTTGGCTCTTTAAATAGTTTGAAATATACAAAACGATAATAATTAATTGACTATTATCAAGAATATATGAATAATAAACAATATATTATAATAAATTCGAAACAAAAAAAAAAAAAATTATATTTTCTTATTTAAGAACTGTCTAATGATGATCTACTACCAGAAAGAAGTCGTTGTGTATCATTAATAAATCGTTGTGAACTATGCCAAAAACCATAGAAACCATAAATGAGAAAACCTAATCAAAGAAAATATTGTTTATCAATTCAAAAGAAAAATTATCATTAAATAACATACCAATAAACATCCATATACCAAATCGAATCCATGTTGCTGGTGATAATTTGAGAATCAAATACGTATTAACTAATACACTTAATATAGGTACATAAGGTATACATGGAGTCTATTAAAAAAAAATATCAATTATAGAAATAAATTTAATTGAATAACTAACTTCAAAATAAAGTGATTTTTCATTTTTTGGTTGTTGTGCAATTAAAACAATTAAACAAAGTTCTATTACAAGAAATATTATAAGAATACTTAATATTATTGGATTTTTTTCTTCAAGATAATGTTGAGCAAATATTTGTATAGCACAAAGAATAAAACCATTAATAACTAGAATTATTATTATAAAAACAAAAAAAAATATAAAATGAACAAGAAAAAAAACAATTTACCTAAACAAGTAATAAGATATTTAGTTAATCTTGCTGATATAATCGTTGGATGTAATTGAAATGGTTTAAATAATTGTTTATAAATTGATTGTACAGTTTGTTCATCATTATTTATTAATCGATCCTCAACAGGTTGATAACTAAGACAAAAAAATTTGTTTTTTTTCTTTTCTTATTGATGATATTGAAAAAGAAGGAAAGTCAATAACTATTGAAATTGCCTTCCAGCTCTTTTCGTCTATGTCAAACGTTCATACAAGATATTTGATAATAAGCCTTGATAGAATTAATCAATGACTGACAGATATACATTAAATTCAATTGTTGATGACAATCAGTACATTTTAAGCGTACAAAAAAAAAACAAAATTCCGAATGATATTCAAAATTAAAATCTCAAACAAAAAAATTCATTTTAACAATTGAAGTCAAATTCTACGATAATAAAAACTTCAAATAACATGTAAATAAACGAAACTACCGATGAATTTTTCGACAAAAAAAAACAAAGTTTATAAAAAATTTTTTAAATACACATAAATCTATACAGTTTCAGATTCTCATTCAAAATATCAAATTAATTTTATCCAAATCTTATTTCAAAACAAGTATTTCTTTATATAGTCAATGTTTTTATATGATTTTCGATTTGCTTGAAAAATACTGATTATTATCAAATGTCTATTTCAATGTACATATGACAATCATTGATTATTTCAATTAATCCTTGAACAGTGCAAATAAGACCTATATATGACTAATTCTCTCATTTTCGAACACCTTGTACGATAGTATGACATAACAAGAAAAGAGAATGATAATTTCAATATATTTCGACCTTCGTTTTTGCTTTTTTTACCGTAAAAATAAAACAGATATGGATACAAGTGAATAAGCAAGTAATGTTCCAATTGACATCATTTCAACTAATTTTTTTAAATCAAATATTAATGCCATAATTGCTAAAAATCCGTTCAAACAAAAAAAAAAAGGAAATATAAAATATTAAAATAATTGAATTTTTATTTTCTATACCTGATACAATACCACCAAGAATTGTTGCTATCATTGGTGTTTGTAAACGTGGATGTATCCAAGCTATAAAACGAAATATTAATCCATCACTAGCTATTGCATATAATACACGTGGTAATGGTAAAAGTGAACCAAGTAATGATGTAAAAATACCTATTGAAAAATTATAATAATTTATATAATAAATATATATATACATTATATTGAACAGTGGCATAGTCAGATAGTTTTCAATAACAGATAATTTTCTAGCTAATCTAAGAATAATTGTCTAAAAGTTTATAACTGACTACACGACTGATATTGAAAATATATAGAACAAACCAGCTAATGCACCAACACCGATTATATATTTCAAGGTTGGTAAATGAACATATTGAAAAGCTTCAGGTAAAACAGCATCAGGATTGATTAAATAATATGGAACCTGAATAAAGAATAAATTTATATAATATTGAATTATTCCTGTAGAAAAAAAACAATATTTAATGTTGAATAAAGTTTTTAGAATAGTTGTATTTTTAAGATTTCTTCTTGATGATAATAACGAAGAAGGATCTGGAAAACAAGATGGAATAGTTGAAAAGATTCTCTATCAGAAATGGTGACTCGAATAATTTCAATACAAGTGTAATTAATTTATAGAAAGTCTCAGAAGGTCAAACACAACGAAATCATTGAAATTTCTTGTAGAAACAGAAGAAAAAATGTTTTATGGATCTAATATCAATTGAATACGGTTCGATGAAAGAAGATCATAAAAGAGAGTTGAGAT